GTCCTATTATTTTTAGTAGTTTAATCATGCGTTTGTATTACGAGATTGATTATTAACTCACTACTTAATACTCACGCACAGCTTCTAATTTCGATTTAATCTGATAGGAAATAATTAACCAAGGAAAACCTTTTTCAATTAACCTGTAACTGTCATGGTTTCCTATCGTAAATCCTACAATCCAAGCACCGAATGATTTTTCTTGAAGGCAACGAGAGATAATTACATTAGCAGTGATTAAGAAAAGATTGTTGTTATCGTTTCTATTTCTGGATTGCGAATTGTTCATCGAAACGCCACGAACAATCGACGGGTTCTATCGGCGGGGCATAATTACGCGTGTTTCATTCGATTACAGTAACTTCGCCGGTAATTGCACCGTAATTGCGAAAGAAGTGTCGTTAAGTCTAGCAAGGAGAGAGAAAAAAAAACGAGAAGCGAAAAAACGGTTTTTCTTCGATAAAGTGGCAGCGGCGCACGCGTCGCTTTCTGAGGGCAACCGCGGCGGTTCGCGCGTTCACGGGAACCGGCTGCCTTGAACCCTTCCCTGCTCTCGTATCGACTAGCCTCGCGCGATATTTCGCGAGATCGGAGCCGACTGATAAGCCTCTACACGACTGTGAGCAAATTACAACAAAGCCACGGCTTGAAAATTTCCATTGGAACGGCGGGATTCCTCGCGTTCGATTCAAACGTATAACTTCATTGAAATTTCCTAGAAGGAAACCGTATTTTTCACACGTTCATGTTCACGTCTCTATCTCCTTTTTTTTTTATTAATCATTCGAAGAATCAGTAAGATTTATTTCTGATACATGTAGATGTATTGGTTTAATTATTTACATCGATTTCGCTATGAATTCTTAAACGACGAACACACGAATGCACGAGCAAGCAGTACTGCTTAGTTTCACAATTAACATTTCTGTGGCTAATGGTATTTAAGTTGAATGTTTCTGTGGTTCAGTAATTAACTTCGAGCATCGTAAATTAAAAAGACGACAGTAATAGGTAATATAAATAGATATTTCTAATGTCATTGTGGCAGTCACATTCTAGATCATTAATAATTCCAATGTAAGCGAACGATGCAGTTCACACTTATATTTTCACGCTATCTTTATTATAGATAATTCAAGAGTATTCATACATTGAGTATTTGAGCTATAAGTATTTTTTACCATTATTGCAATAAAAACATATCTGTAGTGTTGTTTTCAATTAAATGATAAAAAATCTGAGTATATTTGTTCCGTAGCAGAATTTCGATAGTAATCGTTCTTTAACGCACTCGCAGGATTTAAAGATTATATAAAAAGTTAATAGGCAGCCTGCGAGAGTTTATGCAAATCTTCCTTTTCAAGCAGTAATTGATGAAAAGAGGGGTTTTTTACTTTGATGCTTGCTATCTGAATACATGTACAACTATGTAAACTACATAAAATCTATAGTGAGCTCTGTTAAAATTATTTTCTGGATTTATTTGAATTTCCTGTTAATTCATAATGAGCAACATTATCTATTAATGAGTCACATGTATAGTTGACGTTAACATGTATTACTAATGTAATTATCCTGAAAGTCATTTCGAAATTAATACCATAATATTATGTATCTTTTTAAGAAAAGATTACATACCGTGGCTATGTTTTAAAATAGCATTTCTCTTTTATAAATGCATGCATAGATAATCGGACAATGTACTTGTGGAATTCTGTCCCGTTCAAGGACGCATTTTCTTAATATCTCAAAATATACTTTTTATACCCGACGAATTATTGCTTGTACAGTATGGACAAATAGGAATCAAGCTACAGAAGAAGAAGTGCAAAATAATTGTACACGCACGAGATAAAAGACTAGTGTTCACGAAATGATTGATTACGGAGTTAACAGGCTCGAGTGCAATAAGACCAATAACTCAAATGAACGGTTAACGTAAAATAAATATGATCGGTTAGCGTATATAAAAATAACGTAATTTATTATTGGAATTTACAGCACAGCACTTGTCACGTCGTCACAGAAACGCGCGGCTCGCTGCTGCCACAGTGAAAGGCGATTTCTTTTGTCGTCGGTAATGACGGTCGAGTTTCATTTGCGCCACCTGTAATTTTCAGTAATATTTCGCCGGGCTAATTGCCCGATTTTCTAATAAGACTTGATAATGAATGACATTCATCAAATCTCATTACACGGACTTTCTTTGAGCGCGAAATCGCTGGCTCTCGCGGATCCCTTAATCACCATTCCACTGATTTATTAATTTTTCCTCCCGTTACACCTAATTCTTAGAAATCTCCGCCGGCTGTTCTGCAACGATAGAAAACGTGGAGTGCAATACATTTTCAACAATAATTCGTCCATCGAAAGCTGAACTCGAAAGGGTCCAGTCTATTCCAGCGAAACGAGGATTAATTAAGGAACACGCATTATTTTTAAGCACTTCGTTTTTATTGCGGCACTTAGAAACGTATAGAAATTGGATAAAGATCGCGAGCGACGCGCACGCGGTCTATCACGAATTAGTTTTAATTAACGTGTATCTATCGCCGTCATTAATCTCGATTCGTCTACCGTTTCACTTTTTACCTTGCCTACTGAAATCCTCCGTGCCCGAGGCACCCTTGGAGCATTTTGCAATAACGCCTTCGTTAATCATATTGTTATCGTGCACGTGAAGTTTCTTCTAGTTATCTGATGAATTCCTCCTCTCGATGTAATGAGGTAAAAGAGTAATGAGCTCGCTTACGCGGGATTAAAAACGGGCGGTTAAGGCCTGCACGATTGTAACGCGAACTAAGCTCAAAGTTACATTTCGCTCCGATCGATCTTACGTTTATTATTTTTCTACATTGCAACGTAACGCGATTATCTCGATCGCAGAAACGACCGGCCGCGGTTTCAGTTTCAGCGATTATGATTATTTATCCTTGCTATTCCATTTTTAAGATGTCTGGAAATAGTCCGCGGAAAGGTCGCGCTAAAAATATGTTGATAAATTACCATTCGTGTTCTTGTAAATATGTGCTTCGTTCAATCGAGTGTGAATTTCTCGCGCACATATTTGTACGCTCGCCGGTGGTTACCGAAGCACGGTTATCCCCGTGTATTTTTGTTTCGGTGTACTCGTTTAAATCGATCATTATTAACATGCGACGACTACGTTCTAATAACAAGCATGTTAATCGCATCGAAGGAATTTAACTTTAAAATTATTTCGTATCAATTCATACAAAATCGGAGCGCATCGCGATACCTTGGAATAATTTTATTCATTGTCATTAAATGACCGAAAAGAATTTAAGTTGTCATTTATAATCGTTCTTAGTATTCGAAATGAAGTAAAAAAATAACAAAACGTCTATCAATCGTTGTGTCGTTTTGTGGGAAAAAAGTGTTACCGTACGAGGAGTTGATTTAACCGTAGTATTATGGATCCGAGCGCAGTGGATTCATCGATTTTCGATTTAATGAAACGATCGACGCGTTGGTACGTACGGGTGGCAACAATGCCGGTGACGTTTATCGGAGAACCGTATATTTTAATAATCAGCCACGTCGCCTGCGATTACTCACGCTTACCGGAGTTTACATAATCGCGACCAAGTGTTCGCCGAGATTACTCACTTGACGGTGTGCGATGATTTATCGTCCGTTAATGACTTTCGATTCCGTATTAATTATAGGAATGCCTCGGTTCCTGTTAATAGAAGCTTCGCCGGTCGCGGGCACCGCAGACCACGCAACCTGTTATTATTTCCAATAATTTCGTTACATAATCGGCGTTGGGACGTGCAATGTTCATGAATGCGACACGTCACACCTTATCCTGTTTCAGCAACAATTTTTTCCAGTACAATCTTGTCTAAACAAAAATTAAATCCATTTTTCTGGAAGGAATTCGGTATAACTTGTTTCATTGGAAACATTCTATTTGGTATTGATGTAATTTATGAATGCAGAAACTAAGAAAAATATGCTGTGCAAGTATATAATAAATTAATTTTTCGTTCGTGTAATTATGTTACTTTATGTACATCATAATGTCGCGTTTTCAATGTGTCTTATTAACTGAAAAGAGAATATACGTTTTATTTGAAATGAAGAGCACGTAGACCGTCCTTTATGTTTCATCGTCAATTTAATTCATTTTCCTTCCTCTTGTTGTTACAATCGTTGTGTGGGGCGGTATGCGTGAATGTAATGGCATTAGAGGGAACGGAATCAGCGTGAAGCTTTGAAAACGAACAATATACACATTGACTCACTGTATGTGACATTCATTTATGATAACCCTGGGAACATTTCGAAGGAAACTCGAAGGGAAAGATTATTTCAAGGTCACTGTGCTTATTATTGCATTTGAATCTACTATGAAGATTGTATGATAAGCATCTAGGAATCGTCAAACACAAAACAAAGTATACGTAACCATCGAAAATATAAATTAAATGATTTATGAAGAAAGATATGTTCCAAATATTTAAGTACAGTATTGTTTCCTTATATTCCATCTATTTCGTTTCCTAGTTAATCTTGTTTCCAGTTTCATTCAAAGTTGAATGTCCTACTTCTATCCCAGAAAAATGCGCATTGTTCGCAGTTAATTTGAACAGCGTAGTTTCTACTTTGTTTCGTGGACTCTTGGAATACAGGCTCGCAAAGAGCGAAAGTTGAAATTACTCGGTGATTTTATTCTTCCACTATTACGCAAAGCAAACACTATACGCGAAGTATCGCGAAGGTGGTATTCTGGAGTCTTGAAACTGTTAATCACAATAGTCTTTGAGAACTGCCGTTGGAGTATGTGTTAACCGAACTGAATTATTATCACAGTCAAAGTTTGCGTCGTGTAAACACATTTGCTCATCGAAATGTTTATTCAATCGACAACTTCATTTATATAACAATCTGTAGATCAGCTTATTAATGATGAATAATATCAGAAATATCCCATAATAATATTAAATTTACACTGTATTTCCTTTCTGTTACAGCAAGAAGGTGGTCCGAGCGGACCAACGGGTATCCAACAGTGCGCCGGATGTGGTGGCCAAATAGTCGAAAGATGGCTGCTGTTCGCGATGGATCGGTATTGGCACAACGGTTGCCTGAAATGCTCGTATTGCGGCGCAGCACTAGCGGAAATCGGCCACTCGTGCTACACCAGGAGCGGCATGATTCTCTGCAAAAGCGACTACAGAAGGTAGGAACGTGTTAACATTCAGTAGAAAATACGGTTCCCATTTCTGGACGTGTCTTTGAAATCGGTAACAAACAGATTGTCGCGCGACGCGAAATGTTTCTCGAGCAATACAAACAGCTGAATCTTGATTTCAACTTTTTAAACTACTTGACAAATATTTCGCCAGGTAAACCATTGTAAAATTCAAAAAATATTTTCCTTTTTTTTTTCAAATTTTGTAAATCGTTGGACATTTTTTGCGATCTTTAGGATAATTAATAAGTAAACGGACTGTGAAGTCAAAGTCGAGGTGGAAGGTGATGCGCGCGAGCGCAGTCAAAATTTATTCAGAATTAACGAGTACTTATTAGTGATAAATGATTCAATTAGACACTTCCGGTGCGTTACTGATTATTAAGTCGAGACACGCTGGCACCCGAGTATCGAGTAATCAACATTCCGCGGACACAAAGTAGACGCAATTTAGGAAGCTGTCACTTAACCGTTGATTAAGCGCCGCTGATGAAATATTGTTTGTAATAACTTCTTTGACACTGGCAACCATCAGACCGGTCCGCACGACCCATTTCAGATCTCTCTTGTTTTACGGTTACTGAAGTCGTAAACATGCTGTCCCCAGAAATTATTAAATGTATTCATTTATTCCGGTACGCGTTACAATAAAAAGCTTCCAAAATCCGAAGATTTACATTCTTCTAATTTCCACAAGAAAAGGAACGGAACACAAATCAATCGGTTTAACTGCTTGTTGCTTGTAATACAAGCATAGCCTTGGGGAGTTTGTACTAAAATTTGACATCGATTCGCTATCTTGGGACACATGTAACTTTCGAAAGATCATTAATTCCGACCGAAACTTAATTAAAAGAAGAAGAGGATCCGAACAAAAGAACATCGATTTTTAACAACCTATCATTTTATTGCTGTACAGTCGACATTTCTAAAGTTACACGACAGTGAAGTATCAACTTCTACGAGAAGTCCTTTTTTTATTCAAAGCATTCAGAACTTTATAGAGATTCAATAAATCTACTTCTCTTCCTTGCCCGGAATAAACGGTCGAATTTCAATTTGTCCGAGGATCCGGGGACGCCATATTGAACCGTCCAATAGCTCATTATCCCAGGTGGAGCGTCGTTCCTCTTCCCCCGGTGACAGAAAAACTTTTGAAATCCGCCGCGTCGCGGTGGATACACCTAATCGGCGGGGGCCACGTTCCAAATTTAGAAGATTCGAGGTCAAAGCGCAATTTAATGAGAAACAGACGCAGAACTTAGTTAGCGTCTCTGAAAATAGATCGGCACAATCTGGCCGGTGCTGTGTGTACGGAATCTAATGGGTCTGTCCATATTTTTTTCTTCATTGACCTGTTAACTCTCCGCGAGACCGACGGCTCCTTTTCATCTCTGATTAAATCCGGGAAATATACGAGCCCCAGGTTCCGGGGCGAAGCAGACGACGAGAGACCCGACCCGGGACTTTCGACCGTTTATTTTCGATTAATGATTCCCGTATAATCCGATTAATTTACGGTTAATTGCGATGCACCGGTACGACTTGATTTTTTTACATTCCTCGTCTCACTTTTGCGCCAGGCGATTAATAATTAAAGGGGATCGAAAGAAAATGGTGCCAACTGGTCACGTTTCTTTTTCTCGATATCGAAATAACCGATTTTTGTAGAAGCAGCCTTGCGAACGAGAGAGAAAGATCGTCTCGTTTCAAGGACAAATTTCTCGGGAAATAGTTGGCTTTAATATATTCCTTTTGTGCAATTAAGTTAGTCAATAAAGTGTAACAGGGGTAGGATTTAATATGGAGGGAAATATTGAAAAATTTTTATTATTTTTCGTGGGAGGAAGGTAGTTATAAAATTTAAATAATTTATATTTGAAAAGATAATTAACGGTAATCAATATTCAATGTATTAATATTGCAAGAGCAATCTGCGCTGTATCAACAATGCTTCAGAACTAAGGGACTAATAAGTAAATGTACACATTGCTTTAATGATCCTTGCCAGTCGAGCCATATGGCGCTGAGTTACGAGTGGTAAGAATTATTCGAGTAGCATGCGCCAGTGCATTCGCACATACAACAGAACGTTCTGCTTATTAAATTCAACGTAATCCAAACGTAATAATGTAAATGCGTAATATAATTACGTACACATATGCGTCTGAAAAATCAATTTCCCAGTATCAAATGCTAGGGGTCAATTATATTACGCCGAACTTAGAAACGTTAAGTATCCGACGTTTGTAAACATATCAAACCAATTATTATTTTATAACATTGAAATTATACGAAATCCTTGAATCGTTGATTTTCGTAGATTTACAATAAACTTTGAAACACTTCGAAATTCGTATCCATTTACCATAATATAAAGATATCAATAGTTTTAATGTTATAAAATTCTTGGACGCGAATGAAATATTCGAATAGTGAATAATATCGATTTCCAGTGGACCAGGATCGTTATAAGATTCCCCCAGACATTCGTATTCTTTGTTGTCGTCGTCTTTCTCGTCGGTACGATTTCAACGGACCAGTCCGCAGCACACGTACGCCCTAATCTGTTAGCACAGTCGAACGATTTAGTCTAGCGTAGTATCAATATTTGATTACGAGGCGTCTCCGTCCCGCATGCCGGAATTGGAGACAGAATCGTCCATCCAGATGTCCACTGGCTCCTTCGTATTTCCAGAAGTCGCACGTCGCGGTGGAAATCGATCCCAGGGATCGCAACGCGAGAAAAACGTCCCGTTAATTGCGACTGAGTCCTCGTTCCTGCTCTTCGTGTTCTCGATAGGGTATGAGGGATGCAAAAAAAACGCCACCGGAGGACATACGTGTTTTTTAAATAAATTAAAAGCGCGTTCAATCCGCCAGCGAACCGGAATCTTAGATTTTTTAAACATTCTTTCAGCATTTTGATCGAGAATATTTTAAGTTCCATGTTTCTGCAGTCTCCCGGAAAAGTTTAAGCTTCTTTAAAAATTGAATGCAGATTTTTATCGTAATATTCAGCAATAAGCAGATTTGAGTGAAATGTGGATTTTATATATTCACGACATACATACTGGATGTAATGAGATTTTTATTTTATTTAGATCTTGCTGGAAACTTAATCCTTTGCCTTTTAGTATCAAATAAAATACGAGAAGATTTCAAAGTAAATTCAGTAAATATTAATGTCACCCGTTTCTCGCGAGTTAAAATTAAATACTACTTTACTGCATTTTCAATGTGGGACATTTAGAGAAAACGTAGTCTCACAGTGGACACATACCTGACTTACTCGAGCAAATTGAGAAAGACGAAGCTTTTACAATTTATAGAAAATTGCTACTATTCAATTTTGTTTGGAAAAAGCTTCTCGCGTGTATGCAGAAGGCATCTCCGAATACATACTGAATCGCGAAGTTCGAACTTTCATCTTCGCCATCGAAGCGCGTACAAGAATCAGTATCTCCGAAGCAGAGATAAATTCAAAAATCGTCTCCTCGGAAAAACGAAAAACAGAAAGCAAACGAACGAACGCATTACGTTTCATCCAAACAAAATTCTCGTTACATAACCGGGACTCCATTATAAAGCATCTCCACCCTTCGTTTTTTGAAACAATTCCATCTCGCGGGACAAAAGAAACACTAACGCGCCACCCCGAATGTTTATCCTGCGCGCGGCACATCTTAAACGCCAGGAGGCCGAGGCGGTCGGTGGTGGCGAGGAGGGTTGGGAACCCTTTGACGCGACATCGCGAAAAATAGTCTTCTTTGTGCTCGTCCCTGTCGGAAACCGTGTACGCGTGCCGTGAGGAGACTCGCGGAAATTTTCCTCCGAAAATTTTCGATCGGCAAAACAAGCCGCTATCCGAATCGGGAGAAGTAGCACCCGGAGAGCGGAGTCACAGAAGCATCAGCATCAAGCCTTGCGGTGGGGATTGCGGGGGAGGGAGGAAGAGAAAGAGCAGGAGAAAGAAACATGCAGCCTACAATCCCGTAGAAAGAAAGGGAAAGAGGATCCGCGGTTGCGCCGCTAGGGGGAAGGGAGGAAGACACGCGCGCGTACGGTTAGACGGAGAGTCGACGATCGACCGAGTGAATGGGGGAAGAGAGTAAAGGCGAAAGAGAAGGCTGATCCGGAGACACGG